ATCAGTTGATCTTGTGGGAGGTAGTCAAGGGCGCGTGCCGCTGACATAGTGTTTTTCAATCACGCTTTCGCTCTGAAAGTCGTAAACAAACACCTTATCGCCTACGTACAACTTGTCGTGCACAAGTCTGGTTCTCACCCTGTCCGCTCGAAACGTAGAACCGTATTTTCAAAGCTTGCCACTTGCGAGGCGTATCTTCGGAGAATAGTCGTTTTCTATCCATACCTTAATGTTAAGGTTTTTTTAGCTTGGGAGCGTTTCTGAATATAGCCATCTTGTCCCGGAAGTCCAAGAGCTTTATGATGATAGGTCGATCGAAATCCTGACGCTTCTGCCCTAAGCGTTGAATACGTTCAAAAACGCCAGGCGTCACGTTTAGATTATCTGATAGGAACGTTCTGACGGTTGTATCTAGCTGTTCAGAGGTTTCAGTGGGTTCTTCTGCGATCCCTTTGATGATAATATTGTTTCGTCCTAGTCGGTTGTTAAGGTCGTCTACGGTTGCTGTTAATTCTTCAACAAGTTTTTGTTGTTCCGCAACAGACCCAAGTTCAGCTTTCACAAATTCAAGGTCCGATTTCAGTGAGGGAATACCTTTGGTAGCCTTGGAGAGTTTAGTGACCCTACCCTCAAGCGAATCTACTCTCTGCCGAATCTGCGAAACACCTGCCTCAATCCGGCTTAATCTCAAAGTGTTATCAGTTTGGTACTCACGAGTTGATTTTGTCAGAAGGTCGAGACTGCATGATAGCATCCAGTTTAGCAGACTCAGCACTTACTGGTCCAGGATTAAGTTCCACATCACCAGATTGCATTAATATACACGCCAGGCAAAATAAAAGCAGAGAACTGGGTCGCGGACCAACATAGCGCGCAAGGCATATTAGCGGTTTGAAGAGTTGCGACCCTCTGTTGACCGTATATGTCGTTGATTTACGCCGGCAACCGAAAAGACCTATATGGGCACAGTACACAGACAGATCTACACCCATGGCTTGGGATCTGCAGCCAGCAGAAAAAACAAACAAAAAAAACATACAAAGGCAAATGACGTAATGTATTCCCTGAATAAAACAAGCGATGCAGTTAGCCCCAAAGATCAGACTGGCCGCAGATCCCGCCGAGCGCCGAACTTGACTGTCTTTTGTAGCAGGGCACACGTGGGCACAGGCACCAATTCAAACGAAGCAGCACAGTGACTCTGCAGTGATGACAGTGCCGTCGCTGAACAGTCTCGAAGCATCCGTTAACAGCTTGTCATCGCAGTGGTAACGAACTTGATAGTAGGCTGGCCAGGGAGCGATAGCAGAGCCCGTCAAGCGAGGATGCCGTGGAAACCAGCGAAATATGATCACGAAATCATATTTCTACGTTGCTATATCGCTGCTAAGATGCATCGTCTTTTATAATCATAGAAAAGGCGTGTGGCCATATTTGTACTATTGGCAAAGTCATGTATTAGAGTCATGATCATCCAAGACAGCGTACTGTGTCTTTTTCTGTTCTTTTTTTTTCATGCACTGTACCCTGCAAGCCTATCATGAAAAAAAAAAAAACTTTAGGCTATAGAAAACTGTCTCTCTATATTCTGTTACGCCATTGAGTGGCAGTGCATCCCCTTTTTAGAGGCGCCGCTGAAACAGCTGACGGCGGCGTAGAAGCGGTCACCGTGCTGACGATGCGCTGCGCTTGTTGCAGTGGTTGCAGGTACGCGCGGCGCAGAGTGGTCGCTCCGGTTGCAACGTTCGCAGTCATAGGTAACGCGCTCGTTGCAAATGTCTGAACCAGCCTTCCCCGTCCTCCCGAGGCGAAAGTCAACGTGCCAACATTGTTTGACATAACGTCCAGAGGTTACGCTGCTATGCCAAACGTTGGTTTCATTACGACTTGCCCAACCGCAAATCGAAGAACGCCCAAATACGTCTGGCGTTTCATCGTCCTCGGAACCCGAACACGACTCCGTAGTGCTGCTATCGTCCACATCGCAGGTCGGTGTGGCGTCATAGGAAATCATCCCCAGGTCGGCTGTCCGCCGAAGAATCTCAACCTATAACGGCGTCAGGTCATCGAGCGTAGAGAACTCCGCCATGATCGAAGCTCGAATGACAACAGTGCTGTCAACGTTACTAAAATACTCAGTTGTGAAACTGCATAGAGACTGCTCTGAAAAAGTGGCCCCGATCTGTCCACGAGAACCGAGCTAATAGCGAACACAACGCCGCCATTTCTCCCGCAGTGGCCACTCGAGCAACTGCACGTCACTTCAATTTTGCCTTTAATCGGCCATTTTTGCGCCGAAACAGATACAGTGGAAGAGGTTACAGGGGCGCCACCCCCGTCTCCCCAGCGGACGCGCCGCGACTTACTACCGAAGTTAAAATGCACCTCGGTCGGGACGCGCTATCTGAAAGCACCGCTGAGGCATGGTTGTATAAAAACAATATTAATTGTGCTGCAAAACCCTGCAAACTAAAGATTTTAAAAACATTACGCGCCCATCATTTTGTACTATACTCCAATAAATGTCATACAAAAAGAGTCTTTTCCATTTGTTTTTACGGAAAAACATGCTTTTTAAAAGCTCAAGGTGACCACAGTACAGACAAATGATAAAGAGTGGTGCTGTTGTCGTATTTAGCTTGGTCTTGGTGGACGCCAGCGGCCCAAGTTTCGACGGCGAGTTTCCGAACTCGGTGTTTTAATAACGTTGAGTGCTGTTAAGTTTTTTGGGGTGAAGTGCCAGGATGCGGTCTAAAAGTCGCCAGTTTTAGCGAAAAGTCGCTGAGTGGTGATGATGATGATGACCTTTTTTGGTTTTTTTTTATTGTATAAGACGTAAAGTTTCTTTTTTTTTTCCAAACATTATTAATTTTTAATTTTTTTGTGACGAGACAAGTGAGTAGTCGGAGTCGGCCGTCCCATTCCCAAGGCCAACACCTTGAGTGACTCAAGGCATTGGCGAGAAGATCCTGGTCCATGAACAAAACAGCGGAAGGCTGTTCTGCTTCATCCTTATCGAAAAAAAAAAAAAAAACTTGCTTTAAGACGCAGAGTTTTTTGACTGTTACAAAGGATTTTTTTTAAACACCTGATAATCCCTGAAAAATGGAGTGGTTCTGAAGTGCTTCGGGGTCGGAGAATAATAATAAGTGACATCGAGAGCTGTCCCCTGGAAGCCACCGGAGAGCTATCCGACCAACATATTTTCCCCGTTCACGTAGCGTTAGCAACAACAGTTTACATAACTGAAAAAAAAAAGTCGTTAAGACTTCAAAAACACAAAATTGTCGTTTAGGACGACTGAAAACACTCTAAATGTAGCGACTTTCTCGCTAAGTTAATACCATTGAATGACTAAGAGTTCGGCCGGTGCGGCTACCTCGGGATTGCTGCACGACGGAACGTCGTCCAACGCCATTGGCCCGAGAACATTTTGATATGCGAGTGATGACCAATGAGAGTGGTTTCGTTTTCGGATGGATCCGAGGTTTGGCGGCCTTTAATTACATTTTTATTAAATAAATAATCACCGAATGACTATATTTTTTTGGTTTTTAGGGATACTTAGGGCGTCTAAATTCAGTTGTCATCATCAAAACACAAACTCAAAAAACCACCTGAGTGCCCCTTTAAATTGTAGTTCTAACTGTCGTAATATCCCGAGGAGTGGCCCACCTAAAATTGAGAACCGGTGAGGCGAAGATGAGGGGTGGGCTAACTTTCGGAGGTTTTGTTGGAAGCGAGGGGCCACTTTTTAGACACAGTTAACGCACCTATTGGAGACACGTTCCACGCACCGTAGTGGCCAGTGGCGTAGGCAGAGGGGGGGTTTGGGGGGTCGAAACCCCTCCCGAAAAGCTTCCGCCGTTGTTAAGGGCAGAGCAACTAGTATCTTGAGGAGACGATGGACGTTCTGAAATAGTGCCTCCGGACAAATGGCGATGTGACGGGCGCTTCACATTTCTCCCTCTTGCATTGGATTGGACGCTTAAAATTTCCCTATTTTTGGCGAAGTTTCTCTCACCTTTCGAATATCGTCGCTCACGGATGCGATGAAGTCCGTCTTGCTTTCTGCTTTGTATGTCAAGGTGGCATGCGATGCAATTCCTTATTACTATTAGCTTAATCTCTTCGCTGCACGGAACCCCAGAAACTTGAAGAGACAAGCCTTCATATTCTCATTACGCACAGGTGCAAGGCTAGTCAAGTTCCTTTCCACGTTCGGCGCATAGTTTCTTTGTGGTGTGTCATGTCATTTCTCCGAGTGACGGAACGACGAGTTCGGACTGATGACTTCTTCTTACCCCGAGGATATGCTGCTGCTGCCTTTGGACCATGCTGCAAGATAAAACGGCCTAGCTAGCAAAGAAATCACTCCCTTTCCTTCGGCATCTGGCTCTGTAGCACGAATTTCTTAAACCATTAATAGATAATAGACTTTGGTTGTGTGATTGTTCAGAATTACCTTCACCCTAAATATGGGCCCCTGGCGTTGGTGCGTGGCCGGTTGCTCCAAGTTTTCAGTGTCGAAAAAAGATTTTTTTTGCTGTTTAATTTTTTTTTTTGTGTGTGTATGTGTGAAAGTATAGCTATTTTTGTGTTTTCTCTGGCCTTCACACGTTGGTATTGCGGTGCTACTTCGAAAAAGCAAAGGGAGTTTTGTGTTGTGAGTAAGCGTTTAAAGTTGGTGGGCCGCAATTACGACGACAGTAGAACAGTGAACCACCCCGCCCATATTCCTGTAAATGAAGCCTGCTCCGTTTTTAAAAATGACAATGCAGCGTCACCCGTTTTATCTTAACAGCGTCTCCCTAATCTTTGCCTGAGCGTCCGTGTCGGCGAGCTCACCCTCCGTCATTGACGGGGGGGGGGGGGGGGGGGGTGGGGGGGGAGGAGATACTGTTGGACCCCTCCCGAAATAAAATCCTGGCTACGCCACTGGTAGTGGCGGTCTACGCTTTGAAAAGAGGCCGCCCAAAACGATTGTGTTTGGTCCGCAGTATCTGGTCCGGAACAACTGCGGGCTCATGTGCGGTGGAAGCTACGAGTCCATTCTTGACGAGCTGGGCAAGTACGGAGACATCGAGGACATTGTGCTCCTTCCGGGTCAGCAGTTTGCGTTCGTCGTCTTCCGAGACGTCGCGGACTGCGTCTCGGCTGCGGCGTTTTTGAGCACGAGACCATCACGCCTTGTCGCCGACGGATCGGTGCACCCCGCATTCGTGGATAAAGGTACGGACGTTTCTGGCATCTGACTGAGAAGTGTCTCTTGTTTCCTGTTGCCAATTAAGGAAGTTTCACATAGCTTACGACAGACAAGTGTGTCCAATCACCCGCGTGTGGGTGTCTTTCAATGCCATTTCGTCAAATAAATCCTTAGATGGCTTTACAAATTCTGTGTATTTTTAGATGCGAGCTCGACACTTTGATTTATTCGTCACGACCATATTGTTTTCCTCTTTGTGTGTTGTGCATGTTGTATAATCACAAACGTGCTTCACATCGAGGCTTCGGTCATTCTGAGACGCGAAATAGTAAAGCAATATTATATTATCTTTATATACTTCCGTCTCAAAATCTTGCCGGATGCCATGTTGACACACATTCACCCTATGCCAGTGCTTCCCAAGCTCTGCTTCCCTGCAGCTAGTCAAGTAGATAAAATATTGCATTGCAACGTCTGGCTCACACAGAAAGAATAAAACACTGAAATGGAGAAAGGACAGGCACTTGCAGTTCTTTCAACGAGCAATGGCACATTTATATGATCATTGCTCGTTGAAAGAAGTGCGAGTTTCTGTCCTTCGTCCATTTCAGTATTTTATTCTTTTTATGTAAAGTAAAGTTTATCCAACCCGCTCTGCTACGTGTACGCAACCTCTGGCTTGTCAGGATGCCACAAGCTTTTCAGTGCATGCGCATAAAATTGATGTTGAACTTCTTTTTTTTTGTGCAGTTAATATAATAGGAGCGAGTCAGCTGGGCTAGAAACCATCGTAAAAAGTACATGCCTGCAAGAATGACTGTTCCTAACTACTGAAATCAGTTTGTTTGTTAGAGCGCACTGTCGCAAACCAAGGGCAGAGTTTGGACACCTGAACTCGTAGTACCGGCTCGACGTTGAACTGTGACCTGTACTTTGTTTTTATTATTGCCACTGCAAAGAAGGCTATTTATTTCCTTTTGTTTTCTTTTTTGAAGTTCCCGACTTTCTTTGCGAAACCCCCTTGGGGTCGCGATCCACAGTTTGGGTAACACTGTGTTGATTTATGCATGGAGGCATTGTTTTCAAGCTCGTTCGAGTTCTTTCGAGCTGCGATCAACAGCGCCTTCCAGAATAGACGGGGACACAGAAGAGCATTGTTCGGCACTCGATTTTTATACGTACTGGTCTTCATCTGTAGCACAGATGGGCCGGCGATCGAGTGTGACCCATTGGCGGACCAAAGGTAACCTTAGCCGTACAGACCAGATGCCAAAGCTTCAGAAAAACCGTTATTTATTCGAAAGTTACGAGCAATTTCCTAAAAATTTCAGTTTATTTGTGGAGTGAAAAATGTGCTGTAAATATTTTGCGGGGGCACCCCGTGATTTATTTGGGGACCGTGGTGACACTTGCAGTGCCGGAGCACAGCAGCTGTGGGGCCCCCTTTCTGGAGCATCCCCCGGGCCTGCGGCTGGTGCGGGAGGCCGTGGACGAATCTGAGGAGGCATTGCTCTGGCGTCTCGTCTCCTGGGACCGGGACTGTCGCGGTGAGTGCCAGAACCAAACGTGGCAGCTTTTTCGAAAAAACTTTGTCTTGGCCCCCAGGTAAGATATGTATTGGTGTGGACACCGAACACGTCACAGCTGCCTGACAAAGTCCTCTCCTTGGCTTGGTTGCAACCGAGCAACCACCAGGCGACCCTTCGGTAATTGGCTAGATGGTGCCTGTTGCGGGCCCGTTTCCCACACTATTGAAGACATGCTCAGTCTGAAAGTTGATTTTCTGGGTGTGCCATGTCATGAGGAACTTGGCATTTCCGCTACGTGCATTGCTTAGACTCAGCTTTGTCCTTGGCCCTAGTTTTGTACTGTTTCATTGGCAGATATGCTGTCAGAATGGGCTACTGGGGCATGCACCAGTAGGACTTTATCGGGTCGATCGCGTCGCCATGTTGCCGGCCAGTGGGTCCACACCTTTATATATGCTGCACCGTTGTCCCGGCAGACCTACTCCTCATGTTACGCAATACGCTTGACTGTGACGAGCTGTTGGTGTCAATGTGGTGCGGTTTCTATCCGGGAAAGCCTTAGAGTGTCTGTACACTTTCTATACAGATATTCATTCGAAGTGTCTAATGACACGGTTGCAACAAACTTCAAATTTGATGCTTTTACAAAGTTACATATTTAGTTATCTATTTTATACAGTCGGAGCACGCAGTGGACCCAGGTTCAATAGCATGGGCAAACAGTTTTTTTGTTTTTTTTTTAACATTTTGCGATATGGAACGTAAAGAAATAAAATAAACACCAACAAGTAAAAATTACACACACATACGAAAAACAAAAACGCTTATTAGCAAGTTATTGTTATGATGCAGTTTTTCAAATCAAGGTTTCACACTTACAGATTGATGCACTTGTTTTTAAATGAAATGGGATTGTGCTCATTTACAATATGGTTTTGTAGTTTGTTCCAGTCAGTGATACAAAATACTAAGGGAGAAAAAAGGAAAGTGTTAGTACGGCACTGAATTAATTCAATTTTGCTGGAATTATCTAATCTGGATAATATAAAATTGGCAGCCCGGCAGTAAGCAGATTGAAAATTGTGATTAGAGTATAATAGACATCTTGAGAAAAAAACACTATCGGGCAATTGTTTGTCTTTTTCCTGGAAGAGGAATATTTATGTTAGTTTTTAAAGCAAAGACACTAGTTTCAGATGAATAATCGCTGCATATAAACCTGGCTGCTTTGTTCTGAATAGATTCGAGCCTCGAGATTAGGTAATTTTAGTGTGGGTTCCAAATGATGCTTGCATAATCTAACTTGAGGAGGATTATTGTCTTGTAGGCAAGTATAGTTTCCTTTCAATGCGAGCTAGATATAATGTTTGTCTAATGAAACTGGCTGTTTTAGCATGCTATTTGTTATTTGCTTGATGTGCTCGTTCCATGATAATGTGTCTCTAAAATACATGCCCAAATACTTGTACAATGATGTGTTCTAGTGGTTGTAAAAGTAATGAATACTGGGTTTGTGTTTTAGTGGAAGATTTAGTTGCAGACATTTGTTTGCATTTACCAGTGTTAATGTTCATCTGCTATAGGGAACACCATGAAGATATCATATTTTAATAGTCTGCAATATTGGGATCATTAGGTGTATTTATTTTTCGGCAAATAATGCAATCATTAGCAAATAGTGTAATTGTTGATTTAATCGATGATGGTAGGTTATTACTATATATTACAAACAATAAAGGCCCGAGTACACTAGCCTGAGGGACACCGGATGCGACAGTATCGGGACTCGATGTTGACTGGTTTATTCTTACAAATTGTATTTTATTTAACAGAGAAGAAGATATTGAGTTTATAGTAAATGGGTGTATCTGAAGATCTGAGAGTTTGAGAAGGAAGTGGTGATAAGGAACAGTGTCAAATGCCTTGGCGAAATCGATAAAAATGATATCTGTCTGAGCTGTGAGATGAGTATTAAAGTGAAAGTCGGTAACGAATTCGAAATGCTGGCTAGTACAGATGTGACCCTTTCTAAAACCATGTTGGTTAGTAAAAGTTACCAGCGATTTTCGGAAACTTTCAACGGTAAAACGGCAGACGACAGAGCCCACGAATACACAGGGCTAAATGGCACAAACTGCCAAGAACGGGCCCTATTTTCCTCTAGAAAGTTTCCCGAAACTTTGGCACCTGGTCCGGGCCGCCAGGGATACATCTGGGCAAAGACTGAGCATCTGGCGATGCACACCTTATTTTTGCAGTGAAAAAAAAATAGCTAAATTTTTTGGGGATACGTTGTCCACTGTATGGAGCATGAGTGTGCCAAAGCGCGTTTGGACGTAAGGTTGGCAGTCGAGCCACGTCTTGCCTCTCCGACGACGCAGCTTTGAAGCAGCGCGAGGTGAGGCACTTTCGCTATGCCTTCGACTACGAGCTGCAAGGGGTGCGCAAGGACGCCCCGCTCGCCGAGCCCATTCCCGAGGAATGCGCGCCTTTCCTCGGCAGGCTCGTCGCCTCGGGCCGTCTGAGCGGGCTTCCCGACCAGCTCACCGTCACGCGCTACCTGCCCGGCCAAGGTGAGGTCCAAGGTTACATTCGCTCGTGTGTTTTGCCGGTACTCCTAGTACCGGCTGCCGGGATTGCAACATCACGCAACGCACCGGCGTCTGCAACTTCATTTGTTGCCACTTCAAGACTACTTCTGATGCGTGGGACAGATGGGACGCCGATGCACCAGTCCGAAAACACGTTTTTGGCACCGTACGCGCGCTTCGGTAACTCTACAGTCCTTACGTTACCTGGTCTGAAAACGTTTTGTCGTGCCGCGGGAAAGTTTTCTCTAGGAACTAACTGGGGCTCCGGAGGTGCACTGCCGACGTTGGGAGTCAACCAGTCGGATCGTACGAAAAACCCGACAGGCGGATGTGGGTATGGAGCAGCTGTCGTGGAAAACGTCACCGGATACATCTAGTACTCTTTCGGGAAAACCACCTGGACCCGTCGAAGAAACGGACAATTGGAAACGCCATTCATACTTGAGACCTCGCGGTTGTATTGTGTACAAATTAATTGACATGCCACGTGAAGTGTGCTACATCTGCTTTAAAAAACATTGTCTTACCTTTTAAACATTTGTTTCGTTTTTTTTTACATTTTACGAGGGTTAGCATCATTTGTGGTGTCAAAATTCCCTAGGGCGGAAAGCGCCATAATTTTCAGATCAGTAAGTTGTTTATTCAAGTACCGTGGTTACCTGGGAGGCTATGACGAGCGGGCAAAGGCAGGCAAGCAACTACACTACCCTCTCGTCTTCAGCATCATGTGGGGGCAAAGAGGAATGTACGGGGCTTCGCGCGGCGTTTGTGAATTTTTGCGAGAGCTCTTTTCCTTTGACATGGTGGGTGTAACAGCTTCAAAAAACGAGGACGATAGAAGGAATAGACACGACTCGTTTTTTAAGTCTATTCCTTTTATCGTCCTCGTTTTTTGAAGCTGTTACACCCACCATGTCAAACTTCTACCAACTCGTCCAGTTCAACACCTTGTAACAGTTTTTTTCATTTGGCTCGTGTCACTTTGCACATCTTTTCAATAAAGTGCTGCTCGGTACTGTGGCACCTTCGTAGCATTTGCAGCAACGTGATTGCTGCGCCATTTGCGCCAAACTGCACCTAAGGGCTTACCCTGCTACATACTAAACTTGATTTCACTCTATTAATATATTGAAAATATTGTGACTCAGGCCCCGCTACACGTCCGGATCATTATGGTAGGCTTGTGCGAATATTCAGAACTTTCGATTTTAGCCGCCAACAACATACTATCCTATTCAGTATCTCTATCGATGTTAAACACTGTCAGTACTTGAAATTTTCGCGCTCATACCTATGTTCCTAGTCTGCTCTGGCGTGCAAGTTAGCTTTGTTGAGTGCGCTTCTCACTGTGCTCTTGTGTACCGCAGTTAAACGGTAACTGCGAAGTAATTATCGCAATTTTGCTTATCTTGCTTCACCTCAGTGCATCTGAGTGCTAAAGGGAAAGCATTCCCCCAGAGCGGGACGTTAAACACGCAAGCATCGGGTATATTAAAACGAGGCGCTTTGTGAGTATTAATGTAGCTGCTCTTGGTTGTAATAAAAATTTCTGAATTATACTGTGGCTATTATTTACGATGGACTCCGGTATTTTAGCGATATCTTTTTCAAATATGTGATTTAGCGAGGGTACTCGCAAGAAAATTTATATGAACCGCTCTATAGGTTTAATTTTTTTCTAATTCCATTCTTTAGTTGTCACCTTTATATATGTTTTATCCGTTTGAGGTACAGTCAATAGAATAAACTAAATGAAGTGAAGCAGTACGAGAAAGCTTGGGAATAACCTGAACAACTTGGGCCGGATTGTTTTAAGAAGGCATACTTATCGTTCCCACGTCAATGTCTTATTATGAGGTTGTACATAGAAACTGTCATTAATTTTTATAATTCAATGACAAGATTTTTTTTTTTAAATCTGGATTAAGAATTTTTGTATTATTACGACCTTTAGAATTTGAATGAAACATCAAGCAACTTCATCGTGCCCGAAATATGGCCATAAACATATGTCATAAGGCACGCGCCACTCATGCTTAAGGGCGGGGGTGTGATGTCACTGCCAGAGTGCTGTGTGCAAAAGGTGTGCCTCGGACATCGTCTGTGCTCGTTGTGTGCTATGTGCGACAGACTGTGAGGTGACCGCATCTACATCTACGGCCCCGATGTCGGCGGCAACGTCTACATCTACGACGGCTCCCACAGGCAATTGTGGCCTCCCACGCAAATACGCCACAGCCAGGCATCGTTCTCAACGTAGACCTCTAGTCGTCATTCTCAACGTCATCCTAGAACTGCAAAGAAAAAAAGTGTTTTTTTAAACAGCCTAATTGGGACAAGCATGTCATAAAACAAATCTTGCGTGAAAAAACAATTTTTTTCTAGCTATATTTACACCACGGGACGTAATTTAGTCGGGGTCACAACTTCTCCACATTTGAAACTCTCGCCCTTTCGACGCGCGGAGTGGCTGTTATACGTCACTCTGTGACGTATAGCAGCCACTACGTGATGTATAATACCAACTTTGTGGTGCGCGATTTAAAACGGACGAAAGAGCCGCAAACTAAAATCAGTCTCGCGCAATAAATATTGCTTTAAAACATTTGTTTTTCCCAGAAAAATTGTTTTGTGACATACTTGTCCCAATTAGGCTGTTTAAAAATACACTTTTTTTTTCTCTGCAGTTAGCCTTTAAGGTCGTCCTAGACATTCTTGACGTCGTCCTCTAGGACGTCATCCTCGACCTTGTCCTAGACATTGTTCTTGAGGTCGTCCGAGAGGTCGTCCTCAACGTTGTCGTGGACACCGCACTTGGCGTCGATCTCTGGGACATTATCCTCGACGTTGTCCTATACGTCGTTCTTGGCATCGTCCTCGATCTCCTCCTAGACGCCGTCCTTGACGTTGTCCTCGATATGTGCACGTCAATGCAGATGTTTCACATTCTTACACGTAAGCAGTCTTAAGTGCCCTCTTGTAATTTTTTTCTATATTTTAGTAGAATATGCTATTTGGTTTACATTTTATTTTGTACCTAAAATGACCATTCACAGCAGTCCATGCTGTCCTTCATCGATCAGCATCTTGTTGCCGTGCCTAGGGCTTTTATGTGCACCTATACAGCTAGTTCTGTGTTTAAGCAAGTCAAACCTGCCATTGCACAGATGCATGTTCTTTAGTTGGATAGGGCCAGCACACAAATCTTAACATATAATATTCACAGTGGTACGAATAAAAATGAAGTGTGTGCTTGTGCTCCAAAACTGCTTTTTGCTGCTCCATATTTGATTTGCGTCTGCTCCAAAAGGTGCCACAAAATGAGTTGGGTCAATCGCATCACTGCACTTGACATAACGCCCGAGTTGGACGATTGTCTTTTAAATATCTATCCGAACCAAAGGCTTTCTGACGGTTTTGTGCGGGTCCAGGGATACCCCCGCACGTGGACAGCCACGGCTCGTTTGAGGACGGCATCGTCTGCCAGAGCCTGGGCTCCCCCGTGGTCATGGACTTTCGGCACCCCGACGGGGACCGTGCGGCGGTCCTCCTGCCCCCCCGCAGCGCTCTGCTGCTCCACGGGCCCAGCCGCTACATCTGGACCCACGGGTACATGACCTGGCACTGATCCCCGGAAAACTAATAGTTTTGTGCATATATTTAGACAATGGAAAGTATCAGCCCAACGGGTGTCTGGGGTCTTCTTCATAGACGGTAAATTTAGGGAGTGATGTACCACTGGGTCATTCCATGCTGAAGGAGACACGGCAACTTTTTCATGTCTGGGATATGTACAAAAAGATTATTTTGGATCAAAGAAGCCTTTAAAATACAAGAAAAGTATTTTTTGCTGAAAAACAAATTTATTTTATTTTTGTCCGATATGTTCGAAATTTCTGGAATTTGCATAAAACCCGGGTGGTTAAGAGATTCATTGTGACAAAACGGACATTTTGAGTCCAAACAGGAGCTCCAAAAGGAAGAGACTTTGTGAGACTTCTTTATTTTTTTTAGTCAGCTTGAACTTCGGCGTCAGCTACAATACTTTCATTGTTTGTTTTCATAAAACTAATAATTGCATTGCACGTGTTAAAGTTTTAAAGCCTCGTTTTGTTGCGTTTTAATTACGTGAAAAATTCTTCAGTTTATTCAGAAACGGCCTTATTGTGAGCCAGAAAAGGCATTGTGGGCATCGTGCCCAGAACTTTTAAAATAGCCAAAATTTCAATCCACTTCATCTCTTCAACATGTAAAAAAAGATTAGTAAAGTACTTTTCGTTGTTGCTGCAAAATTATTTTTTAAAGATGAGCCTTTCTGATCATGCCTTCAGGTGCCCGCCTCGTAGGCGACGCGCGCTGGCATCCGCCGGCGAAGCGTCAACAGTGAGAGACGCCGCTGCAAGGTCTTCAACGCTCTCCTGAAAACATGTTTCATTCACTTGAAGTAGACTTTATCCTGACCTCCATGTACCCGTATCCTCTTTACGTTACGTAATGATACCGGCGTTTTAATTTTACTCTACTTCTGCCCAAATAACCGCCAATGGACGCAGGCCTGCATCGCCTGCTTTCCGAGTTCAAGAATCCATACTGGCACGTTGTCCTCGTTTGTCGTATGTCCAGATGTAAAAACAATTTAAACCGATAGCTCTTCACCGATGCAAAATGGTAACGGTGACGTCGCTTCTCTATTGAGCTTGTATGTATTTCGATAGAACATATAGTGCTACCAAAAGCTGTGTAATGATGGAAAAAAGCATTCCACTCTTTGCAGCAGACGCCTCACACCCCCGAGATTACATACATGCGCAGTATTTTAGGCTCCGGAATACACTGGAGGCCAACAAAACATGTCTTGAATTCTGAACTCTCTAAGAGTCTTTTTAAAGGAAGTGCGTTTGATAACAGGTGGGAGTTACATGGGTGCTGTCCTCGCCACATGAGCGTCAGGCTTGGCGGACATTAGATTAGGAAAGAATCATCATTGTAAGTTTGCTTATTGAACAAATTGTTGATGTACTTTTTAAATAAAGGTTTCATGGCTGATGTTGCAGTTCTAGTATTGATGCCAACTACTATCAGAGGCTTGACCGATTTACAGACTTTGCAAAATGGTAATATAGTTCCTTAGATATTCATTAGATCAGCTTTCATGTTTTTACTCCCGATTTCAATATGGCGCTCAAAAAGATTGCCAAAACCCCTGCCCACTATGATGCTTAGAAGAGTGACGTAGTTGTTTGTGCGATGTCACCACTAGCGAACTTCAATACATCTTGGTTCTATTAAAATACATATATAAGTTCAATGGGGAAGTGACATCACTGTTATAATTTTGCATCAGAGAAGAGCTATCCGGTCTGAATTGCTCTTACCTCTGGACATACGACAGACGAGGCTGACGCGCAGTATGCATTCCCGAATTCGGGAAGCAGAGGATGAAGGCCTGCACTCGTCGGCAGTTACCTGTGCAGTAGAGTGAAATTAAGACGCCAGAATCAATCATAAGGTAAAGAGAATATGGATGCCTGGATGTCAGGAGAGCGTTGAAGACCTAACGGCGGCATCTCACACCGTTGATGCCTCGTTGGCGGGGTGCCTGGAGGCATGGTTGGAGAGGTTCATCTGTAAAAAATATTTTCTCCGCAAAAACAAAAAGTACTTTTCTAACCTTTTAGTAGGTTGAAAAGGTGAAGTGCATTGAACTTTTGGCTTATTTCAAAAGTCGCTGGCACCGATGCCCACATTGCTTTTTCTGGCCCACAATAAGGCCGTTTCTGCATAAACTGGAGAATTTGTCATTTAACTAAAACGCAACAAAATGAGGCTTTAAAATTTAACACATGCAAATCAATTATTAGTTTTATGAGAACAAAATAAAAATGTATTGTAGCAAATACCCAACTTTAAGTTGACTAAAAAAAACAAAGAAATCTCATAAAGTCTTTTTTTTTTTTTTTTTGAAGCTCCTGTTTGGACTCAAAAATGGCATCCTTAAAATAAATGTTTGTATCTTACTTAAAATAAGGGCATGTTATTAAGTAATTAGGTACCCACTTAATTGTGTGGTGTCAAACCGTTTTTTTATGTTTTATGCAAATTTAAGAAATTTAGAGCATGATATCAAGAAAAATAAAAAAAATTGCTTAAAAAGAGACTTTTTTTGGATTTCGAGACAAAGAGTTCCGTTTCGTGCGATTCATTTGAGTGCACATTACATATAAAACAAACAGGAAAAATAAAAATGTTGAGTGGACCTGCAGGTTCAATCTCTCGTGGAATTACCCTCCATTTGTCGCAGTGTACTCGGTCCGACACTTCGCAACCACATCTGTTTTAGCAGGAACAGTAGACTCATAAAAGATATATTTTCGAAAGAAAAGACTCCTGTGGCAGCGAAAAGCAGATAGCGGTCGCGAGCTGGCGGTGCCACTGAGAAGAAACGAACAGTGATCGCTACAGGCAAAACGGAAAAAAAATGTTTTCATCGGAGTGCCAGGAGAGCGCCGTGACCAACTCAGGTCAGCATCCGGCAGAAAGAGTGCACGCGAGAAGCCCCGAATCTGAGCACTGAATCTTAATTATTTAAACTTGTTTCAATTGTACCTTTTTAAACATGTGTTTTTTCTTATCACTATTTAAACTTGGCCATCAGCAGTCGAGCCTCCCTACGAAAAGTAGGCTCCAACCAACGTTACTAAAACACTCAGTTGGGAAACTCCCATAGAGACAGCTTTGTAAAAGTGGGCCCCAATCTGTCTCCGAGCACCGAGCTAATGACGAACGCAACGCAACCATTTTTCCCGCAGCGGCCACTCGAGGAACTGCACGTGACTTCTATTTTGGCTTTAAGAACAGATACAGTGGAAGAGGTTACGGGGGTGCCACCCCCGTCTCCCCGGCGGACGCGTCGCGTCGAACTACTGAAGTTAAAATGCACCTAGGTCGGGACGCGCTACCTGAAAGGACCGCTGAGGCATGGTTGTATAAAAAAATATTAATTGTGCCGCAAAACCCTGCAAACTAAATATCTTAAAAACATAACGCGCCCCTTTTTTGTACTAAACTCCAATAAATTTCATACAAAAAGAGTCTTTTCCGTTTGTTTTTACGCAGAAAACAGGCTTTCAAAAAGCTCAAGGGGACCACAGTACAGACAAACGATGAAGAGTGGCGCGGTTGTCGTATTTAGCTCGGTCTCGGTGGACGCCACCGGCCCAGGTTTCGACGGCGAGTTTCCCACCTGAGTGTTTTAGTAACGTTGGCTCCAACTTTCACTGATCCGCGAAATCTTCATTCAAATATAATTGATTGGTGCTTCAAACTCACCTGTAATCTTTTGTATAAATTCTAAATTTTCACAAACTGCTGTCCCCGTGCTTTCTCTTGACAGACTTCCTACATCTTTCAACGCCTTTCTTGCCCTTGTTTGAAATCGAAAACGTTCGATTGTCTTTCTGTCCCGGTACGGCAATTCTGTACAATTTGCGATCTGTAAATTCATAACTGCGAAAAAAAAATTGCAAAGCATTCTTGAAGGGCATGATAAGACTTAATATGAGCCTTGATCTGTGAAGAGAAGAAGAAACGTTAAGATGGGCGTTCATTTTAAACTGAATTTCCAATTATACAAAACTGGTAACCTGTCTACATCTCTGTATATGTTTTTTCAAACGGTGATCGTTTGAATTTTAATTACAATTTATGCGAATATTGAACAAACGTGTCCAAATCATGTTAAAAAGGTGAATTTCCAGCTTTTTAAAATACGGATCAGTGAAGCTCTAAATTGCTTTGTAATCTATAATACATGTTTAACTCCTATTTTATGTACAGTCTACGCAACAAACATACTAGAGAGTTTTAGAATAGGGGCCCCCAAAGCTTGGGGGCCCCAAAGAAATAGGGGCTCACCACTGCGCATGCGCAGAACCCAAAATCTGTTTGGGGCTTTGGGTTGGCGCTTGGGGTCGGGTTGCGTCGGCAAACATGGCGGCGCCCTTTCTGCTCGCCTCGGAGCAAATTCGTCATGGTCGCTGCAGTATTAGCCCATTTAAATGCCAGTGAATAGTGCTACCGGCTTTCGCTTTGCTTGATCTGGCTCAAATCACAAAGAATGAGCGGTGGGCTCGCCCCATTTTAAAGATCGTCCCCGATTTTGGCCGATTCTAAGCCTAAACATACGCGGTAACCGTTGACATGGCAACGTATTGCTACTTGGTGGCACGATACCTGCATCTTGAAAACAAGTATTTCAAGGCTTCAAAGTCGCTCCAGCTCAGATCTAAATAGTGCAACTGCCCGCAGAGTATGCGCGCTCGCGTTCGTCTCAGTCTCGGCGTAGTTGAAGGCCAAAATCTTTGGCTGCATATGGTCAAAGCGCACACCCAAAAATATCGAGAACGAGCCATACCTAAAACAGCGCGCAAGCAAAGAAGGAAGAAAATAGAACACAGGAAAGAGCGCTGACTCCCAACTTATATGTTGTGAAAGAAAGAGAAAGAGGAAGCTTCATACATGAAGCCCACGCGCACAAACAAGGTATAAAGAAGAAAGAATAAAAACATATAAATTACTAAGTTGCTGTAGAAAAGGAGAAAACTGACATTATAAGGTCACGAAGAAAAA